GAGAGAGAGAGAGAGAGAGAGAGAGAGAGAGAGAGAGAGAGAGAGAGAGAGAGAGAGAGAGAGAGAGAGAGAGAGAGAGAGAGAGAGAGAGAGAGAGAGAGAGAGAGAGAGAGAGAGAGAGAGAGTTTGAGAGAGAGAGTTGGACATCACCGCGCGGTTGGGACCGTGCGACCGACCTCTTGACGTGTAGGTGGCCGTCTTCTGGTTGCAAGATGATGGGGTACTGGCCGTACAGCACTGTTCTGCCAACTCGTTTCTTGTAGATCAGAGAGACGCACAAACCAGGCGACGGCAAATGCCCCAATCAAACCCGGCTGCCCTTTCAAAGTCAAGTCCAAGCTGCGTGGGCCGAGGGCGATGAAGGGTTGATCTGCTTGGCGACCACTACACAAAAGACAATCTTGACACAGAGAGAGCAATGGAGAGAGAGAGAGAGAGAGAGAGCGTTTGAGGGAGAGAGAGAGCAAGGCTATTGGGGAATTGAGGATTTGGCTGACGTTGCAAGAGGGCAAGGGGAATAGGGTTCTTTCCTCATCCATCAGCTTACGCTTGGTAGCGTACGTGTGAAGAGAGCCACTTTCTCTCTCGTCAACGGCCAAAAAAAAAGGCGGCAAACTTTGTCAGATGAAAAATCGCTCAGAGACAAATTGCTTATGAGCGAAACACAACACACGAGGATTGAACCCCTTGTCACCGGCTAAAGCTTTTCGGTACTTTTCCTCTCTCTTCTCCGACAGGTCGGTCTTGTGAAAAAGGTTTTGAGCGTCAGGGGGGAGGCTGAGCTCGGCGGCTGGCGGCAGCGCTGGTGCTGGTGGTTATGCTTGGATTCAACATCAAGCACCTCCCAGCTTTGCTGAAATGCTTCATGTGCTCGGCTTGCCTTTCTTGTGACCGCCGCCTCTGGTGCTTCCCCTGGACAATCTTTGTGCAACACCCCTCGTCCTTGGCTCACGTTCGCGCCTGTGGCCTGTGCTGGTTCGCTCGCGGCCTGATGCTACCTACGCTCCCTTCGGTTCTGTGACTTGGCTTTTTTATTTTCCTTCGCCGCCTCTCTGGTGTGGCATCTCCCTTGCAGACAGCATCATGACGACTGGCAGCATTCGGTGTGTAGCGACGTCTTCTGTGCACCCTTTTTGACTTGTTCGCCTGCTCGGCTGGTCGACAAGCTGCGCCCGACATCTCGACTCTTTTTAGCTTCTGTCTTGATGTGCCGGCATTTATCGCTGGTTCTCATGACACCTTTCAAATCATATCCAAAATGCAGGCTTTTCGCCAAGGCGAAGTTTGTCGGCTTCCGCCGTAGCCGGAAGAACCAGCAGGTCGGCACTTCGCTCCTGAACATCGAGGGCTGCCACAACCCCGAGGACGCCAAGGTTAGTTGGTTGACTTATCAGCATGGGGAGAGCCGTGCGTGGATGCCAACCATTTTCCCTGTGACATGGTCGTGGGCATGTCCAGTCACTATACCCACAGTCAAAGTGGCATCTTTCTTTTTTCCTCATTTGAATGCCGATCAACGATTCCGCTCATTTTTTGACCCTGTTTCTCTCGCTCTCGTAATGTCTCGCACGCTTGTGTGTCCTTGTGTGTCGGGTGGGTTGGGGTTGCTGCGTGGCTCAGTTCTACCTCGGCAAGCGTGTCGCCTACGTGTACAAGGGCCAGAAGGCTGACAAGAAGGGTTCCACCACCCGCGTCATCTGGGGTAAGGTGACCCGCACCCACGGCAACTCTGGTGCCGTCCGTGCTCAGTTCAAGTCGAACCTGCCCCCCTCTGCCATCGCTTCGCAAGTCCGTGTCGTAAGTATCTTGCTTTTGGCCAGATTTTCCACCCAGGCCTGTGCTTTTCTTTGAGCAGCTTATTCCGTCCTGCCAAACCCATTTTTGGCCGCATTGCTTCTGGAAACCCCGACGCCTCACGAATGATGATCCTCTTCTTTCTTATCCACTTGTAGATGCTGTATCCTTCCCACATCTGATTCTGCAACTATGGCACTGATTTTCTAAAGCCCTGGAATTGATGCCGATTCTTGGTTTTTGGCTAGCTCGTTTGATTCTTGGTGGTCTTGTGAGCCATCACCCACCTCAAAGCACAGCGTTGGAGCATGTCTTTCGGTTTTGTCGGATGATTGCACGCCACAACTTGAAATAGGGACGATTCTGTAAGAAGGGGTTTCGTCACATATCAACTTTACAGTCAGGCAGGATAGCAAAAGCCGAGGAGAACAAGAACATATGCGAGTGGCGAGACACTACACGTATTGGGCCATGGCTGCTCGCATTTCCTCCTGAGTTGACAAAGCACCGGTTGTGAGAGACAGGACGACGGAGACAGAGAGCACAGAGGAACAAAAAGAAGCAGAAGAAGAGGAAGAAGGGGCTAACGCAAACGAGTGCACTGACCAAGGAAAGTTCCGAGTCGGGATGCTGAATCTTGCTCTCTCCCACCAGGATGAAGCTCTGTGTGGTCATGCAAAAGCGCACCGGCAGTGTAAGCCATTGGTAGGGGTGATTCACATGCTGCAGAACAGAGCCTGTGGAGGCTGTTGTGCGTACCCCAGCAACTCCGTTGGCCGGTGTTGTCGAGGCCACCGGTGTTGTCTGTCCCGGTCCTGTCAGTGCACGGCAGCATGGGAAGGGAGGTCGTTGAGCGAGTTCGTTAAGCTGCACGTAACAGTCATGGTTTGATGGTACACACCAGAAGGCAAGGGCGGCGGTGCCTGTTGCTGCGGTTGGGCTTGTGGTGGTTGTGCTTGCTGCTGCTGCTGTGGCGGTGGCTGCTGCTGCTGCTGCTGTGGCGGCGGTGGTGGTTGTTGATGCTGCGGCGGGGGAATGGGCGGACCGGAACTAGCAGAGGTTGGTCCGGGGGCGTAGGAGGCCGGCGGAGCACTTGGAGGGCCACTCGAAGCTACAGGCGGCGCGCCCGATCCTGGCGGCGGCGCATAGCCACTGACTGGTGGGGGCATGGGGGGCATGCGGGCACCAGGTGGACCGGGCGGCATGGGGTATCCTCCTCCTGGTGGGCCATATGGAGCCCCATAGGGAGGGCGTGGACCGCCAAAGGGCGGGCCTCCTGGGTACATGCCCGGAGGGGGAGGGCCGCCATAGTGAGGGCCTGGGTAGGCCCCTGGAGGTGGGCCGTACATGCCCGGGGGTGGCATGGGCGCTCCATAGGGAGCTCCCGGGTAGGGCATGGGGGGTGCACCCGGTGGTGGGGGATAGCCAGCGCCAGAGGCCGGGGGAGGTGGAGGGCCACCACCAGGCCCCATCGGGTAGCCCGTGGCACCGGGAGGCGGCGGAGGCGGGGCTCCAGCTCCCGTGGGTGGTGGCGGTGGCACACCTGCGGCCTCTTCAGCACTCTCTTTGGCCCGCTTTGCAAGACGCTCTGCGCATCAAACACAGCCAGTGTCGGGGGAGGAGGCGTTTAAGAATCGTGTGAGGATGAGCGCAGTACTCGGGGCAAAGGGTCAATGCACCGACACGTGCTCGCACTGGTGTTGTGAGTTTGTGTAGGCTGTACCTGCGTTCTTCTGCTGTTGAAGTTGAGCGGGGATGCCGGCTATGCCAAACACCTCAAGCTCTGGGTCCTCACGCCCGGGTAGGGAGTTGGGGACCTCCTTAACCTAGGATTCGGCCGGGGCAGCGGGGGTGGACATAGACGCGGAAGCGTGAATGTGGGGGTTGGACGACCAAACTTGCTTGGCCGCATGCGAGTGAGGTCAAGTGAGGGAGGCGGCCAAAAGATCGTACATCTTCCTTGTGAACCTGCATGCAATGCACCACCAGCCCACTGGCCGTGTATAATTTGCGGCTGCAGAGGTGGCACTTGAAATGCTTTGCCTTTTGATGTTGAATGAGGACTTCTTCATTATCAAACTCTCGCTCGCAGTAGTAGCACCTAAGCACAGTCGTGGCGCGACCGTGAAGCCAAGATGAAGACCCAAGTTCGTGCGCTAGGCAGGCCCGAGACCTGCTGATGTTCGGAACAGCAGCACAGGGTGATTATTTTCAGAGCGTAGCACCTACCAAATCACATTAATGGGCTCATCGGCCTTGGACTTCCTCTTCTTGCGCCCCATGGCGTCCCGGTTCCCAACGCTCGGGTCAGAAAGCCGGCAACGACCCACACCCAGCTGATGGAGCACACAGCGAGCTGACTGAGATTGAAATGAAAAGAGAGAGAGAGAGAGCAGAGAGAGAGCAGAGAGAGAGAGAGCGCAGAGAGGTGCACATAGTGCTACCAACTGTTAGTATTGTCCTCTTGCCGCTTTTGCGGCGTTCGGAAGGAACGGACAGTTGGTAGCGGCCACTGAACCAAGGAGTAAATGTACTTATTGTAGTGAAATGAAGAGCTTTTGCTGGATGTTATAGGTGATGTTGCTATCAAAGGCCATGGTTGATGTAGAAACATGAGAGGAAGTTGAAGGAGAGAGATGAAGAGAGAGACAGAGAGACAGAGAGAGAGAGAGAGAGAGAGACAGAGAGACAGAGAGAGTTTGAATTGCCTCCTCTGCTCGGCTTCACTGCGCGGCAACACACACACGCACACACACGCACTGGGCGCTTGCTGGACTGACGCTGGACTGCGGTTGCTGCGGGCTTGTCAACCGGCCCGAGGTTCTTGGCGCGTGCGCTTTTTCTCGGCTGCTTGTTGAGAAGTACTGGGACCTTCCTCAGCGGTCCGGACTACCTCGACTGCCACCATGGTACGTTTGAGTCAGTGGGTTTTCTGTGGCTTCATGTGTGATGTGTCACTTGGTGCAGCTGTGGTGCTTGGCGGGGCGCCGCTGCGCCGCTGCGCATGCCCAGTCCTGAAGGGAGGGTTGATATGTGTGGTTGCGTGCGAGCATGGGTCTTGAGGCTCTGCCACTCACTCTTGCTTGCGCCGCTGACCGGGCTCGCTTAGTTTCGCAACCAGTATGATGGTGATGTCGTGACCTGGAGCCCCCAGGGTCGCATCCACCAGATTGAATACGCCATGGAAGCCGTCAAGCAGGTCAGCGGGCGGTCAAGGCTTATCACGTCCATGTTCCCGTGCAACAGACAGAAAGCGGGGACACAACTTGGGGGCTTAACTGCCTGCCAGGTTGTGACGATGGCCTCGTTCCTCACCACCGTCGCATGTTGTTGTCAACAGGGCTCGGCTTGCGTTGGTGTCAAAAACCAAACACACGCCGTTATCGTTGCACTCAAGGTACGGGGCCCAGGCTCTGCTCCCAAGTCAAGCCCCCTATGTGTGCGCCTCATGTTTGTCCTCACTCCAATCGCCTGTGTCCACCTTGCACAGCGCTCGCCGTCAGAGCTCTCCTCCTTCCAACAGAAGGTGTTTGAGTTGGACCAACATGCCTGCATGGGCATTGCTGGCCTCTCCTCAGACGCGCGTTCTCTTGCGTACGTGTGTTCACCGCACAGCACTTTGTTGCGCTCACAATTTCCGCCTGCTTGTCGCTGTTGTGCTCACCGCACAACTGTCTTGTCCCGGTTCGCAGCCGCTTTCTGCGTGAGCAGTGCTTCGAATTTCGCTGGGCCTACGATGAAGACATGCCTCTTTCTCGCCTTGTCAACGCGGTTGGCGACAGTAAGTCGTGTATCTTTGCCTATTTTACGCCCCTTGCGCCCCTGCGTTTGCCGTGCATCTTCTGGCCCTGCCTGGTGCCATTGGCCATCTCCGGCTTGTGGAATCTGGTGCCGGGCCCGCGTCATTGCTTGAAACTCACCACTTGCCATCGACCCGTGCTCTATTCTCATTCTCGATTGCACTTGCTTCCCCCTTTGCACAGAGATGCAGCGCTGCACGCAGCTTTGGAGCCGTCGCCCCTTTGGTGTGGGTCTCCTGGTGGCTGGCTACGACGTATGTGTGGCAAATCCACCATTGTTTCCTGGCCTTCTCCACCTCGTTGCTCATGTACCAAAGCACCGTCCTGTGCTCGTTTCTCACAAATCGTCTTGCATCTTTCGACCCCTTCAGGCCAAGGGTCCCCACATTTATCAGATTGAGCCGTCAGCCAACTTTTTCGACTGCAAAAGCATGGCCATTGGTGCTCGGTCGCAGTCGGCACGCACATACCTTGAGCGCAATGTGGAACAAATCAAGTCCTCAGGTCTGTCGACTTGTTGGACGCTCACCATGACCTCCGCTACGTCTCCTCAAAGCAAGCATGATCGTCTCACCTTTGCTGCGTCTGCCCGTTGGTCTAACGTAGATCGTGAGGGTCTGATCAAGCATGCGCTCTTGGCGCTGCGCGAGTGCTTGCCGAGTGAGAGCTCACTGACACAGCAGAACACCACCATTGCCATTGTCGGACAGAACGAAACCGTCACCATCAATGACGATGACAAGGTAGTTGACACTCGTTAACCCACCATTCGGCCTTATTTGAGTTGTCAGCCTTGTTTTTGCCTCGGCTCCCAGTGCGTTGGGCGTTCACGTTGACAATTGCTTGACACATTTTTTTTTTGTATTCTCCATAGGTGCAAGGCTACATTGCACAGCTGGATGACGACGGCACGGCTGGCCAGGCCATGGATGACTCCAGTGCCCAGGGCGAGTAAAGTGCGAGGGGCTTGGCTTCCCGTCCACACCGCGTCTTGTCGGCCGCACATGGGTGATGTTGCGGACAATGTGCTATCCCAGCTGGTCGGGCATGTCCTTGTGCTGAGCCTGCAACCGGACAGAATCGCTCGGAAAGGAATACAATGTCATATGCGTGCGTCCCGTTTTGTGTTTTACATGTTTGTGTGCGTGTGTCTTCGTGTCTTGTTGCTCCAAGGGTTGGGCACCGACATTTGTTGGTGCTCTCTTGGTGGCGGAGGAAATCGATTCATTTGTCACAGGCACAATAATGTCACACAATGACCACCGTCCACACATCTCGTCGTGTCCCCATCAAACAACAACATGGCCTCGAGCTTTGAACCACAGATGCTGGGCCCGGGGGCATTGCTTGGCCGGGGTCACCACTCACAGACCAATGTCCATGGCAGTGGACGCCCCTTGCGTCAAATGTTGGCTTTGAATGGCCTCCCACTCGCCCTGCAGGTCGCTCTCCTTGACAAAGCTCACGAGGGAGACAAACTTGTCGTTCTTATCTGCATTTCCAAACCGCATCCATGCAAATTGTCGTCCAAAGCATGAGTGAACCCGCGGTTGACGAAAGACGCCTCGTCATGGCCATGGCTGTGGCCAAGCGCACTTACCGCTACCGGGGAGCTTGTTAAGCGCGTTGACAGCGCGCAGAGCACCTCGCTTTAGATCCATGTTCTTCTCGAGCTCTTGCTGCGTGGACTTTTTCATCTGCACAGACACGAATGAGAGAGCGACACCGGTTCGGTCACAGTGCAAGCCAGATGCACAGCCGAGTCAAAATCCCATCAGCAGGCCACGGATGTTCACAAAAGACCGACCTCTGTCTTAATGGTCGCGGCCAAAGCATCGGCAAAGTTGTCCAGTTCTACAGGAGTACGCAAGCGCATGACAAAACAAAATACGTGCAAGAACATGAGTCCATCGGTGCCTATGTTTGGCTTTTATGCCCACGTTTGGCTTTTATGCCACACACTCACGTTGCAGCATCTCGAGAGGGAATTTGCTCGTCAATCGAGCCACCATCAAATACATCAGCATCTGCGTGCATCATGGCCAGCAGCACTTTGATGAGTCAACTGTCCAGGGCTGTGGCCGGCATTGTCCATACAATCGGAGAGGGAGAAAAAGAGGATGCAGACCTTGATATCGTCATGGTCATCAAGTCCCACCAGCACGTGGTTGAAGAAGGCTGTCACTGAAATGCGCTCCGCAAACACATCCAAAACGGTAAAGAGGCACTCAAAAGCCGCCTACCACAAGATCAATTCCCGTTCGAGGTGAGCAAAAAGTGGCTCCAGCTAGATGCCCATCAGTGTCACTTGACACTACAAGCCAAAAAACGAACAAACAACAAACAAAATGAAAATTAATACCTTGCGAGTGTCTAGTCCGTCGTCAATGCGATGCTTGAAGGGGCCCATCTGCACTTCGCGAATGAGCTCTTGGCGGCAGTTGGTCTCGGCATAAACGAGCTGAAGAAGACCTGGGCACAAGTGCATCCCAAACAGCATATTTGACTGATGAGCATTTTGCGTTGATCAGAGACACGTCCCCTCCTTGGATACATACCGTCTAGCTGTTCCAGAACCAGGTAGGGCTTGCGCTGCAACGTAGCGTTGAAAGCCATAATACCAGCCCGGCGCACCAGGTTTTCACTGTCTCCAATATGGCCGAAAAAGGCCTGCAGGTGCTGCTTGAGCACGCTCTCACCCACTGCGTCGGCCACCCCCACAAATGTTCGCACGGCGTGCAGCTAAAAGGTGCCAGCATCCCCCGAAAGCAAGGCCATGTTGATGAGCTGCGGTCGCCATCGGCATGACGGGGGGCCAGGCTTGCAACAACGCCACAGGTGCCATTCTTTGCCCTTGGAGTGATCCCAAAGGGAGGTGTTCAAGTCTTACCGCAGTGGCTCGCACAAAGGCCTCCTCATGCGAAGCCATGCTGACGATCAAGCCAAGCAATCGGGCTGCGTCAACGAGGGCCAGCTTGCCCAGGCAGTCGGCAACCAAGCTGCGGTTGCTCTATCAAATTCAAATTCAATGAGCGTGCAGTCAACACTCAACACTAGCAATTCTGTCACCAAGCTACGGAACCGTACCTCTTCAGTGTTGGCGGCATAGGCCTGCAGAACGCTAAGGATGGTGGCAATGTGCGGGCGCAGGGCCTCACAGCCTTCGGCCGAAGAAGTCTTGTCCGTGATGATCGTCTAAGGACGGGCGGTCACACAACGGCACAATTTACCTGTGAGATTCAGGCCGGCTGGAAGCCAGGCCCGCACGGAAGCCAATCCTCGCGGCGCCAGGGCTGTACCTTGAATGATCGCAGGAAGAGGTACTGCAACGCGGTGTGAGTTTCAATCTGAGCCAGGATGATGGGCAGGTATGCACTCAGATTGCCACAGGCCATGTTGCCCAGCGTTGCTGCCGCGGCTGCTCGTAGTTGGTCATTGTCCGACTCGAAGAGACGAATAATGTGCTCGTGCACGTCACCAAGCGGCATCAAATCTTGTTTGAAGCCAATCTGCCCATGAAACAAGATGGCATTCAAGGTCAACCATCTTTTCCTCCCGACCTGGGAACGATACGCGACAAGGAAGACACGTGCACCAACCTGGGCAATCGCCGACAATGCCACCAACTTCAACGATGCGTTGTCACCCTTGAGGTCTGGATGAGGGGAATACAGGTGTGAGTGTGCGCATTGCGCCAGGGGATGCCAAACAAGATCGGGAAAGCCGATATGAAACACCTGCCAAAAAGCCGGTCTGTGTTCCCATCTATCAACGTCCGAGCAAGCAAAGACGAGACGTACCCTCAACAAAGCGCTGAACAATTCCGACGCCTTCGTTGGAGTCGTGTGCAACCATGCCGGCAATCACCACGCCCACGTTGGTCAAGGCCTGAAGCAGGTTCAGCAAACCAAACAGCAGTCAATGACCGGGCACGTCTTTGCAGAATACAGCCAACTGGATTGGTATTGGGCTCGCGTAGGTCGGGCTATACCTGTTTGGGAAAGTACAGGCCATCGGCGTTGGGTGCACCAGTGGGTTGTGCGACAGGCTGCACCAATTGAGCAGCCAGCGTCATCTTTTCAGTTCCAGCAACGCCGCTGGCTGCAGCCGAACCAAACAACGCAGCCGTTGCCTATCATCGGTCACCAAATTTGCAACATCTGCCAGTGAGCCGCCTCCCTCAATATAGTTTCTTGCGTATGGCACGGGGAAAAATAACGACAGGGAAAAAATAAAGACGACTTCAACTACGACAGCTTTGCAAGCAGCTCGCTGGTGACAGACCTTGAGGGCATTGCCTTGCAGGGTGCCTGACAAAAGGAGCTCTTGGCACAGCTGATAAAGGGGAATCTCGTTCTAAAGAGCAAGAATGTGTAAGCAACAAGCGCATACAGACCGCTTGAGGTAGGCTGGGGATGCGATGACACCTGTACGTACCAGAAGCATGCCAAAGATTTGTGGCTTGCTTTCAGCACTCAACCTGACCATGGTGAGCGTCAATGCCAGAATCTATCGGAAATTTTGGGTTGAGTCAAAAAAAAAAAAAAAAAAAAAAAAAAAAAAAAAAAAAGAATTGCACAGCGTTTGAAATGTCCCATGCAGTGTCGAAAGCCAAGACAAATCCTTACTTGCAAGTCTTGGCCTCGCAAGAGCGTCTTGGCCTCGGTAATCAGCGCCACCACGGTATCATCTGGCAAACGAGAACCTAGATAGACCCGATAGGCGCAGGTGCATGCTTTGAGAAATCAAGCATCACAAAATGTCGACACCAAAGTACGCAGCAATTCCATCGGGACGGCTCGCACCGTAGGTTTTCAAGAGAACATTGATGGTGGTCAATGCTGCCACGGCCAGGCGACGGCCCTTTTTCTTGAGGTCGCTGCAGAACGTATCCAGTGCTGGCACCAAGATGTGTTCCAAATCAATGTTCAGCGATGATTGGGCAATTGTGGCGATGGCGTCGGCAGCTTCCACGCGCGTAATCTAAGCATGCATTCACGGTGACCCGACAGTTGGGCCGTGCGCATGGTGTTTTGAGCGGAAGATGCACTGCTTTCGGGGAGAGGTGGGGTGCTCGAAAAATACACTGAAGAATTGAAAGGATGGACGGCAGCCATAAAAGGGACGTACATCGTTGTCGATGCGCGACATGATGACGTCGAGCAGCTCAGGCACCATGTCCGTGATGATGTCACCAAAGCGGGCGATGATTTCACCGCCAACTCGCAGACTGCGTTGGCGCACCTCTAAAGCAAAACAAGCAAGCACCAAAGACCACATGTTGATTAACAGGTGATCTCATGAAACATGGTCTCCAGAGCGGTTGCATGGCGCGACGACGCAAGGCATGTCGCACCTAGGTCCGAGCTGCTGTCGCGCAAAAGAGCAAAAACGTCTTCCACCAGCTGACGCACAGCCTATTCCAGCCCACATTGCACGGATTTTACATCAACTCCCAATGACGAACGGCCTTTTAAAAGAAAAAAAAGCAAAACAGACTCAAACGAAATAAAGTATAGCATATCAGAGCAGCGTTGTTGTTTACACACCGACTTGACTGCATCACCACACGGCACACCCGTGTTGGAGCGCAGAACGGGCAGCAATACACCAGCAACGCCAATGGCTTGGGCGGTAATCTTGTAGAATGTGTCCTTGATTGCCTTGGATAGAATCTGCGTCAAATAGAGCGATGTCGCAAATGTTGTTAAAACTGCCAACAACGCGTCGTGCAGGTTGTCAACGTGTGGCGGGTAGCAAAATTGAGGCGAGGCTTACCTCGACAATGCTGCCGATGTGGTCTTCAGATGCACTGGCTTGATGAGTCTTGAGCATGCGCGCTAGAAACGTCAATGCCAAGTGCTTGACATTGGTTGTGTTGCTCTCATCCCTATATCAAGTCAACCGCCGCATTCGCATGGATTTTGTGACTGGCCAGAGTCATGTGTGATCCACAGATCGTGCAGGTGAAATGACTGTTGGGCGAAAGACATACGTGAACATGAACTCAATGATCTGCAGGCATGTGCCAAAGGCGTTGGCAAACGCATCTTGAAGTGTTTCGGTCACGGCCGTGAGGAGCTGAAGCATGGCTTCGCGCACTTTGGGATTCTTGGCCTGATAACAGTAAGCGCATTTTGTGTGGTGTCAAATAAAAAAGCGAAACAAGACACACGCAAGCATTTGTGTCCGTGCGTGCGCGAGCATCTCTTGGCTGACCTTGTACTGCTTTTGAAGCGTGCGTAGCACCTTGGGAAGGGTTGCACGGATCAAAGCTTGCGAAGGCGAGTCCTCCACGGCCATGGCTAATCAGGCACCTTGGTGAGTGATTGGGGGAGGGATGGCTGGAACCTGGCTGAAAGAGGCTCAGCAGTACCTGAGGCGTCGCTGGAGTCCTGGCTGCTCAGCTGAACTTGCTTCAGCAACAATTCAAAGGTTGCGAAAATGTCCATGCGCACGTTCTCCTCGCGTTCTGTCCTCCACACACATGATCAAGCGTGCATCAGCAACCGAGGATCTCCATAGTGACCACGAGTTGGTAAAAGGGCGTACCGCGGAAGCAAGTGGTCAAAGGGTCGAGAAGGGTGGTGCATAGATCCATCAGCATGTCTGGACGAGTGGTGATGCAAGCACCAAGGCACTTGGCTGCTGCCCGACGAATCTACCATGTGTGCCGTTTTGTTGAGCCACGACAAACAGTCAGATGCATTACACTCTGAGTGCTTGTGTGTGTACATGCGCGTAAGGGTGTGTGTGTGTGTGTGTGTGTGTGTGTGTGTGTGTGTGTGTGTGTGTGTGTAGAAGTTGTTGTCAACATGTGCCAACCTTCCAGCTGGCGTCTTCATCATCGCTGTAATCCTCATCGTCGTCGCCAAACTCGTCATCCTCATCTTCACCCTAAGCCAGCATCGTGTGGATTGAAAAAGGGAAGTGTGAGCATGGGTGAGGCAGACGCCTCGAAACGCAGACAAGCAAGTTGGACTGCCAATCGAGACGCACCATCGCATCATCGTCGTCGTCTTCATCGTCGTAGCTGTAGTTGGGGTCGTGTTGCACCATCTCCACGCACAAAGCCACAGAGGCTGGGTCAAAAGGGAGCGCCACGCCATTTCGAAAGACAGCGGTGAGACTAGTTGCAGGGAAAGCACATCCAGAGCAGCGAGGGTGATGCTGCTCCAATTTAGACTCACGCTGCGCAAAGGCTGAAAAGGCGGTGGGGGCGTTGCGAGCAAGGCCCTCGAGTGTTTGGAGGCACGCCTCCACGAGCTCGTCCATTTCTTCCGCTTGGGCCTGATCGAAGAGAACTTGAGAGAGCTCCGTCATGTAGGCTCCGAGACGCAAGGCGCTATGACGACTGCAGGCCGTCACCAAGCAAGTGAGCACTTCTGTTGAGGCATGCTGGCATAGAGGAATCGCAGCCATGTAGCGGGTAGCAGTGTGTCAACCTGAGAACGTTGAGCGTGGAAATGTAAATTTGAGCAGCGGGCTGGCCACGCTTCATGGGTTTAAGGTGAGTCAGAATATCTGTCACAATGCCGTCGAACTGTTCATCGGTGACCAAGGGTGCCAGCGCCGCGAGGCAGGCGATTGTCTGGACGGATCGTTTGGGTCGGATGCATTGCATTTTATGAGCATTCATGCCCCGAATGGTTGGTGCGACTGGAATAAGAGTATTGACCGCTGACCTTTTTTTGCACAAAGGACCGTTGATGCTTGAGCGTTTGCATGAGGACCTCAGTCATGGTGTTGTGGTGAGGCTGAGCCTCGATACCACGGCGTCGCGTGATTTCAATCAACAGATCGAGCGCATCTAGGACCATGTTGTCATTCTCCTGCAGGATACCACGACCGCTGAGCTTGCACCAAGGCGGGATATTTGACGAGCCGGCGCACTATGGTAGCGTGTACTTAAGGTCCACATACCGAGGTCGTGCAACCCAAAAGGTGTGGGACAATGGCGGCCACGACCTGCTGAGTTGTGCTTGTACCACTCGGTACCTGAATGATAAGCGTCTTCAGGCCTGTCCGTTCAGAGCATTCCCCAAAACAGGAGGTTCAAAAGTGAGGCTGGTGGCTTGCCTCGTCACCAGGCGTTTAGGCTCCCCAACGCACCGAGGCCATTGATATCACGTGTCTGGTCATCGCCTTGCAGAAACTGGTTCATAAGAGCACTGGCTGTCTCCACCACCAGGGGGCTCAGCAGGCTGGGGATGAGCTCGCCCAAGCTAAGGAGCATGCACATTGCATTGAGAAACAAGAACGAGGTGCATGTGTGTGTGTGTGTGTGTGTGTGTGTGTGTGTGTGTGGTTGTACATGCAGAACGAGCAGGGCGTGGTGGCACAGCCTTACCACTTGACGGCCAAATTCTGAACCTCGCCATTAGTGTCCGAGAGGAGCTTGAGCACTTGCTTGAGCATCTGCCAAGTGGCCGTGTCAGGGGCACGTTGCGGTGAGGCGTGTGCGCGTGTGCGCCGAGGCGTTGTCTTTTGCTACCAGGCAGGAGGACAATTTGCACACTCACGCGCCGTTGGAGACGCTCATCCATGGTGAGTACATTGGCAGAGAGCAATGAGATGAGGTCGTTGAGCGCCATGTAGCGATAGTCTTTGTCCAGGTTGTCCATCTGCGCCACACGCATGCCCAGCGGGAGAAAATTGAGCAAAGCCTCGCTCGGAATGTCCGGCGACAGTGCGGCACAGTGCGATCCAATGCCATCAGACTATAGCGGCAGGCTATCCCACAAGCGGGGGCGACAGCGTACCTTGGTCAACAGGTCCAGCACCTGAGAGGACGCCATGATGACGGTCGATGGTGTTGGAGTTGAGGTAAATGCAACCACAGCCTTGACGCCTACAGCCACTTGCACAAGATGTGACCAAAAGCCCCACGCCAATACGCATGAGAAGTACCTATTCCGTGGCCAGTTGTGCGCGGCTCTGACTGCCATTCGCGACGGCCCCCACTCACCCAAGGTAGTGTCGTCGTCGTCGTCTCTCTCACTGTCACTGACGATGAAGAAAACTACAACAAGATGAAACACAAAAGCCTCACACACAGTGCAAGAGAGAGAGAAAGAGAGAGAGAGAGCGAGCTATTCGCGCCATGTCAGATTGTCAGCAAAAATGGGCCGGGGATGCGCCTCATTTCTCTCTCTCTCTCTCTTCTTGTTCACATGTCAAGTACATGTAAGAGAGAGTCACAGCAGCAATAGCAGCAGGAGCAGCAGGAGGAGAGCGGCGCAGTCTGTGGGGAGGGCGGCGGGAAGAGGGGGCTCAGTGCCGATTTCGTTTACTGGGTGGTGGGAGGCCGGCGTATCTGTGTGGGGTGGGAAAGCAAGGTGTTTTTTGGCTGTGGTGATGCCTGGTTGTATGTCTCTCATTGCCATTGACAGGTGGGGGGTGCGGCTTGGCTAGGACACGTGACCTGCAGCAAGATGAGTGCGCAACCGCATCAATCGGCAGCGGAGCCAGCGGCAGCTGGCATTGAGGCACAGGATCAAGGCAATGATGGCGGAGAGAAGCAGAATGCAACTGGCATGGCTGGTTTTTGGCAGTCCATGCTGCCTTCAAAAACAGATCGCCGTCGCAGAGTGCGTCCAACCTTTTTTCAGTTGCTGGCTACTCCGCGCCAAGTCGTCACCCCATTGGTGCTTGTGCTCTTCTGCCCAATAGCTCGTGCAAGAAATGCAGGAAAGGGCGGCTTATGACGCTTTCCTGCAACTGTCTCCTGAGGAGCAAGAGGCGCGCACCCAGGCGTAAGTTGTGGTGACTCGTGCACAAATCTAGACCGACTTGTGCCCTCAAGGCATGGACAGAGCAGAGTTACAGGGTCATATGGATGCTGGCGGTCAAGCAGGTGTTCATCTCTTGTTCAATGCGCCCTGATTGCTCATGATGGCCATGCCCCTTGCCCAGTGCCTTCGATACTTGCAGCGACCTCTATCAGAGAGTTCGCGACTGCCAAAACAGCAGTCAAATCTTCAAGTTCGTAGCTTCGGGTCTTGCCTTCACGCCGCTTCAGTGCTGCACCTGCCTGCTCATGTGCTCGATGCCTTTTGGTAGGTCGTTGTGCTCGGAAGAAACGGATGAATATTATCGATGCCTGCGATTACAAAAGGTTGGTCGTGCGCGTCGAGCTGCCACTACAGTTGCACGATGCTGTGCACGCGCTCACGTGGCTAGCCCACGCACGCTCTCAGGGTTTTTTGCGCTCGCGAATGCTGGGCATGGACATCAATTTTTCTCGCTTCCTTCCACTTTCCGAGGATGAAACTCGCGCTGTCGATCAGGCGGCCGATCAACTACGAGATGAGATGCGCCAAGACTCGTCCCCCAGCCCCCCAAAGGCTGGCCGAACATGACACTTGATATCCTACCCATGTCCGCGCCCACTCCGGGAACATTGACCACCCTTTCCGATTTCGACTGTGTTCTGAGCAATTCAAATATTGACCGCCTCAAATATTGACTGCCTCATCATCGTTTGATTCTCTGCCTCATCGCTCTGCTGCTCAGCCTGCTCGACCAGACTGCGGGCGCTAAAGTTGAACAGAAACGCCTCTAAGCCTTCACGTCCGAGCGGTGTGCCCAGTCATCAGCCCAGATGCTGCTCACGTAGGGCTTTTCAAAGCTCGTGTCCGGATGCGCTGGCACTGGCGGGTGGAACCAATAGTTGAAGGCCATATGCAAGCCTAGTATGCAACCCATGCCCAAAGCTGTTATCTCCGATCCAGAGCCCCAAGCAGTGGGGGACACACGCTGGCAAAAATGATATGTTTCGGGCGGTAGGAGCCAGTCTCTTACCTGGGCTGTGTGTGGAAGAAGCTGACGTGCCATCGGCTTCGCACGCATCACTGAAAGAAGTGACTTCATGAAACCAGCCCGCGGGTAGGTATAGAATTTGGCCTAAACACAGGCAAAAGAATGAGCATGTGCTTCAGCATGCCAGCGGGACCACTTCAAAGACTAGATGCGCAGATGAAAGGACTGCCAAGAGCGCAGGCGCGCACCGGGCTGTACTGTGCACAACAATTGCCTGGCCTCTGCAAAGCGGGGAAACTGTGCCTGAAGGGCGCTGGCACTCAGTCGAGGGTCCACCTAGCCCGAAACACCACACGCGCGTGATTCAAATCGAAAGCCTCGGAAACCAACGCGCACGTGATCCAAAAAAGACAATACCTTTGAAAAACTTTTGGGTAGCGTTGGGTCCTTTGGTGGCGCTGCTGCTGCTGCAATAGCACAAGCGGCTTTGAGTTTGTCTTGCTTAAAACGAGTACGGCAAACTTGCAAAGTATCATACCTTCCGAGGGGCCATCCGTCTGGGGCAAAGGATGATCGTCTTCGTTCGAGTGCCGCGAGGTGCCTTCCTCTTTGTCCTCACCACCGTCACTCCCAAGTACATCATTGATGTCAAAGTCATCCTCGTCTTCGTCCTCGTCACCATCACTGTCCCTCTCCCCGTCCTCGTCATCGTCGTCGCCAAAGTCTTCAGCATCCAGCACTTGCTCCAAGACCTAGACCATGCATGTCCAGTCACCCCGCAGCAATGAGACCACGGCCAGTATCAAGGGAGAAATTCTGCATGGTGCCACCCGCCTTCAGAAAGGCACGCGGGCAGCAGCGAACGGCAAGTCCGAGGCCATAGACAGGGACAGTCGCTGGGACACAGTTTCAAAATAAAAAATTCCGACCTCATCCAAGTGTCGCTCGGCGCGTGCCAATCGCTCCTGTGCGCCAGGCTCACCGCGCTCGACGGCGGCCTCGGCAGCTAGAAGCTCTTCTTCAGCAAGGCGCTGGGCTTCATGCGCCTCATTGGCCTGTGCATCACTACCGTCCGCTTCTGTCAACTCGCCCTGCCAGACGCACAATGCCCAACGATGTAAGGGGCTGGCTTGGAGCGGAAGTTG